GGTTGCTTTCCCAATCCTGCAGAGTGAAAACGTGGACGAAGCTCTGAAGCGATACTGAACCGATTGGGGTGCACTGCTGTTGGTTGAAGGAGTGTTTTGCTTGAAGCTGATTTTATTTTCCTTTGTAACATCCCTTTCCTCCTTGTTAATGCCTCTTTTTGTCCCCTTGAAACGAACACTTTACCTCAAATTCTCACACCCCTCCTCCTTCCCCCCTTCTTCATACACACCCTTCCTCATCCTCAGCTTCCTATATTTGCATGAATTACTTTGTTAGGCGTCTTCGTTTTTGCAAATTTGAATTCTCAATTGAAACTGTGTTGCAGTCGGTGTGAACTTTCACCCTGATCAGGCTGACTTTGAAAGTCCCCATTATCTCATTAAAACTGTTCTACTCATTAAACCTACTGTCAGTATCAATCTCTTACCATGGAAACCTTCTCCCTCTGCTTGCTACCAGTTGTCCTTCTTCCCATCATGTCCTTCACACTGTTATTTGAAGGGACTTGATGTGGTTTCTTAAAGGAAAAAGAAAGGTCCTGATTGGTTGTGCCTGCTTACTCTCCTATCAAAAAGCAAAATCAGGGATACTGTTAATGTTATGATTGGATTCAGGACACAGAAGCTCTCCTTCAGCAAGGGTTTATCCAGAAACCGAGGACTGATTCTTCAGAATGCTGCAATGAGTCAACTCGTTGGGGAAACAGGAAATGTCTGATGCAACTGCAAGTATGAAAAAAAAACATGAAAACGTTAGGCCTCTGAAATGCCTTGCTTGTAAATACTGTACATAAAGTAACTTGTGTGTTTTGTTGTGTGTAGTGTAGTTTGTGTTTTGTCATTGTAATAAATAGTTGTTTACCCAGGTGTGCCTGGATTATTACCCCTCTCAACAAAGCTGTGTCAGAGAACAAAGAATTCACGTTCCTCCAATTATACAGTACCAACTGCTTGTTCAGAAAACCACTTACAAGTCAGAGGGTATGAACAATTATTTCACTGATGGACTAAATTGCTCAGTCAATTTTCCACCGGTTTTGTAACCCCCACATTTTTAACAATATAACAGTAGCAATGAGCTAATGCATAAAAAACATTCAGGTGCCTAATAGTCACTTTTAAGTCTTTAGACCTTTTTTAAGTCTTAGAAGAAATAAAATAAGGAAAGCAAGAACATCTTTCGCTTTATATCTCTGAAACATTTACCCTGCTAAATGAACCAAAAGGTTTTGTGTTTCTTGCAATAGTTTACAACAGCTTGCTGTGGTTCCCGATGGTCTCAGCATCATTACACTAGAACATGGCAGTACCATGGAGTGCTTTTGCAAATCAATTCATACATGACAGCTTGGCCCAGCTCATGAGACCACGGGACAGTGCAGTATAGCACCGAGGTAATGTTGAAACCACAGCAAGCCTTAGATGAAGCTGTGGCCAAAGTGCAGCAGTGGAGAAGAAATCCATTAATGAATGCATGGCTCGGTGGAAGAACTTCCGTCGGGCGGAGTTTAGCCCTTTCCAAGGAGGTTGTTAATCCAGGGACATCTGAATGCTCATGGAGGCATCCAGGACGTGTGTTGGCATCGCCTTGGAAATGCCCTCTACTTTGCCCTCTCTCTCTCTCTCTCTCTCTCTCTCTCTCTCTCTCTCTCCTGGTCTGCTTCTGCGTCTGCGCGGTGCAGAAGCTCTCACAGCCATGCCAGCCCAAGCCGAGTCCTGTGCCCTTTGCCACGTTGCATCACAGGGCTGAGAGAGGGGAAGTGGGCGCCTCTGTTCGTCGCAGAGTCTCCTCGGCGTCCACACGCCCTGCAGCATCTCTGCTTGTGAGTACCAAGTGCCTTATATTTGAAACATTTTAAGAGGGGGCCGTGTTTTGCCGGTGGTCCTTGAGCCCAAGTCTGGTGTTGACTCGCTGATAGCCGACTGCCGAACGCCTTCTTGCACGAGTCCTCTGTTTCTCGACGTCTCGCTCGCTTTTTCAGAAGCCGCTTGATCTGCAGAAAAATCGTTTCTCTCTCAGAAGAAGAATATTAATCTCTTTACCTCTTGGGGACTACGGTGAACTTTTGTTTTGTGGCAGTTTCGTTTTCTCAAAGATCAAAGCAAAGATAACTGCGCGTTTCTTGGGTTTTGTTGCAGACGCAGTTGCTGGTGATCAAGGAAGAGACGTTGTGCAAGGCATTTTTTTTCCTTTTACCATCAAAAAGTATAATGTGCTTGTTACGTGCTCTTGCATATGTTTTCATGTTGAGTTTTTGGTTACGTAGGAGCAGGCGAGTCAGTGCTGTAGTTCCACGATTGTGAAGGAATCATTACATTGGCAGACGGTCTTCAATAAGCTCCTCATTGATGTTTTCTTAGGCACTGACACCCCCCTCCGTGGCCGATCGACTAGGAAAAAGCCTGTGTCGTCTCCGAGTGCTGCAGGTGTTGTCAACTCTGTCCTTGCTCAGCCTGCGAGTACCACAACTGAGCCCTCCTACGGCCATGAACAATTGCGTGACCTTCGGCTCAGAGCAGACCTTCCTCCCTGTGCTCTATGGGGGTGTCTTCTGTGTGGGGCTGCCTGTCAACTGCCTGGCCCTGTACGGCTTGTACCGGCTGGTCAAGGCTGACTACGCCCTCCCGGTCTACGTCATCCATCTCCTGATCGGCGACCTCCTGCAGATCCTGACCATGCCCCTCTGGATCGACTACTACCGCAGGGGCCACAGCTGGCAATTCGGGGACGCCGTCTGCAGGCTGGCCAGCTACGCCTTCGGCACCAGCCTCTACACCAGTATCACCTTCATGTCCTGCATCGCCCTGGAGCGCTACCTGGCCATCGTCCATCCCCTCCGGTTCCAGGACCTGCCCAAGCTGAAGATCGCCCACCTGCTTTGCCTGACCTTCTGGGTGGTGGCGATCGTCATCCAAGCCCTGGGCTACCACTACGGCTTCGAGAGCACCCAGGGGGGGCTCTGCTTGGAGAACTACCCCAAAAAGAGGGAGTTCCTGAAGTTCCAGTTGATTGTCATGCCCTTCACCTTCCTTCTCCCCGTGGTCCTCTTCGGGTTCCTCTCCTTGAGGATTCAGAGAAGCCTCCGCCGGGATCCCTTCATGACTGCCGAGAAGAAGCAGAGGATCATCAGCCTTCTGGTGGTGGTCCTGCTCCTCTACGTCCTGATCTACGGGCCCTACCACGTCACCTCCTACGTCCTCTGCCTCGGGATGCTGCAGGCCAGGCACAGCTGCGAGTACGAGGACCGGGTTTTCCTCTGTCTGCGGATCACACTGGGGATCCTTAGCCTGAACCCCGTCCTAGACCCCGTCATCTACATCTTCCTCCGGCATGATGTGCGGGAGACGATGGACTCCTTCCCCCTGTTGCGCCGCCTGCTCAGTCTAACGAGCACCTCCGGGAAGGCGACGGGCGATCAGGAGCCTGACGCCAGCACCCATCTCGGGTCCGACATACAGCTGGGGGAATGAGGTCCGCGGTCTGCACGGGTCAGAGCATTCGGACCCCCCGAAGCAGATGAAGAGAGTCTTGGTACTTGCGCAAATTAAAGTAAAACAGGTCAGGAACGAGAAGAGGTCTTTCAGTCCATCTAGCTCATTGGCTCTTTGGCAGTTAATTGATCTGGGGATTTCATTCTGGCTTTTCTTGAAAGAAGGCTGGGTATCAGCTTCCACGATGTCGGCTTCAACAGGTAGCCCGTTCCTTCCTCTTACCTCCCGTGTGTGAAGAAGAAAGGCTGTAGGCAGCCCTTTTCCTACTCCCACCACCCCCTGCGCAAAGCCATTTCTCCTGTCCTGGCTGAAGGATAGTGTCTAGCCATGTCACGAGAAAAGCCAGAGTACTGGCTGCAGCACCATGGGTGGGGCAGCTTGTTCCACACTCCCGCCACCTTGCGTGTAAAGAGGCGCCTCCTGTCCTGATGGGGGGGGGATTTCACCTCAGCTTGCGCCCCGACTACCAGAGGGTTTGCCTTAACTTTCCCGGGCCAGCCCATGCCACAGATTTCAAACCTGTGGAAAACCCATGGATGTTGATGGTGATGTTGATGGTGGGACATGACATTGTCCTCGTCTGACATGCCAGCAAAGGAAAGCCTGACAAGATAAGTTGCACACGTTTCACACCTGTGGAATATATAGTGCTCATGCTGTTCTGGGAGGGTTGTTCCTACTTGTTGTTGCCTGTGAGAAAAGCAGCACTTGGGTTTGCAGGCATAAGTTCTAGTCCCCTGTGTGTGAAACAATATCACTCGCTGAATTAAGTGTAAAAAGTGTGATTTTTCATCAACATTTATTAATCTACACAGTTCTCCGTCTCTTTTAAGGCGATTGAATATGTATATCCATGAAAGTACACTATGAGTATTCTTTAGCTCTGATGAAGTAAGACAACAAACATCCAGGGTGCCAATACCTAAGTCAGCAAATTCAACCAAGTAAATATACTAGCAGGGCAAGATTGTATCCCCAGTTTTAAAAAAAACATTTGTTTTTCTGCCCCCAAATCAATTCTCACTGTTTCCATTATATATTCAGTAATGACATATATTGATGTATCTTTGATATACTGTTCTAATACTATCGTTTCTTGCTTTTAAAGACTGAATCGATAAAGTTAAAAAAAAGTTAATACAACTATCAATCATCTGTGCACATTAATGGCTTGAAAATAATACTGTAAGAATTCCAAATAAAATCCATTTTGTGTTTTGACGATGTTCTTTCGCTGTTTGTGATGCATGCTCAGCGCAGGTTTTCACATTGAGGATTTCCCCCCGGGTTTTCGAGCTCTTCCCGACTGAGGAGCAGACACTTGCCATGAAAGATCAGCGGGGCCGAGTTGGTCCCAGTCGGGTGTTTGTATCGCAGTCAGGTGAGCTCGGAGTTCGAATACGATTTTGAAACCCCCTAGAGTTACAAAAAAACACTTGTATTGTGTATAAAGTACATTGTGAATGTTTTCACAGCTTTCACTTTGTCATTTTTACGCCATTTTTTTACCACACACACACGAATATTCTTATGTCCATATCTTCGCAAGGGAAACACATAAAGTCTTCAAACCAAACGCATTTTAAAGACCCTGACTTGTGAACCTTTTCACAGCCTTCACTTGGTTACAGCATTGTGAGTGTTGTGGTTTAAAAGCTATTGGCTTGTGAACAGCACCACCCTATACCAGTGCATTGCCTGTCTAATGGTGCCATATCAAATAAAACCACAGCAAAGCTGTGAAAAGTCAGTCTTCTGTGTAAAACATTTGAACATCATGGGAGCTGCTTTTAAAAAGCTGTTGAGCACAGACAAGGAATGCTACTGTTGTCAGCAGTATTGCATATATAGTTGACCCTTACCTGAATGAAAACAGGACATAAAAAAGGGTTTCAGAAATAAAGCTTTATCCCTGTAGTTACAGGTTGGATAATTGGAGACTGCTGTTCTGTTTCCTATGGTCTTATACGGGTTGCTTGCATTAACCCCTATTGAGCAGTAGTTCCCGCATTGTGAAGGTATGTACACAGCGGTCCCGCAGTGTTCCAGTTGTTGTGGAATTACGCATCAATCAGAAATCTGAGGTTCAGAAATGATACGTTCATGTAAAGGTTGTGAGAATTTTCACAAGTCGCGTTTTTTAAAATGCGTTTGGTTTGAAGGCTTTGTTTCCCCTACAATGACATTGTCATCAGAATATTCGTGTATGTATGGTCAAAAATGGAGGCTGTGAAAACATTCATGTTCCTTATACACGATACAAGTGGTTTTGTAACTGTAGAAGGTTTCGTGAAAACACTATTGAAGTGTCAAAATTGTATTTGAACTTCGAGACAACTTTACCGCATTGTTGTACCTCTGCTGGAAAATCAAGAACAGTCTGTGTTGCGCTCGTATTGCTGTTACAAGCTTTGTCACCTGTAATTTGGGGGGGGGATAATGACTGGCATCAATTAGTTCTGTGCTTCAAACTGAATTTTTTAATAAAACAGTTGAACAGTTCACAGGACGATTTCGGAAGGATGCTTGCACGAACGCAAGGCACAGCTGATCTTCCTCGTTCCATGACAAACGAGCCCTGTGGGAGAAACAGTTTTTGTCTTCTCATTTTTATAGTTTTATTTCTTATTAGTCAGTGTTTTTTTGTGATTTTGTTTGGTGGGTTTGTTTTCACAAAGTCGTTTCTGTGTCTCGTTCAATTGCTGTCAAGATTCTCTACTCCCTCTGCCCATGGTGCCTTTCTATGGTTTTAGAAGTAATTGATGATTATTAACCTGTTTCTTTGTTCCCTCTTTATTGGGTCAAATTGAACACAGCGAGCCTGCACATTGATAAGTGCCAGCAATAATGAAAGATTCCGTCTTTTCATTTGCACTTCTAAAAATCAAGACAAAACACACCCACCATAATGGCAGCTTCTGTGGTGTACTGAATGCGATGCAGACGTGGTGTTTCAGCAGGGTACTCAGTGAAACTAGCCTTTGGTCATGGGCAGCATGGAGGAGCAGTGTTGACCATTGCTGCTTCGCAATTTTGGGGCCTTCAGTTCCATGCCAGGGGTGCTCTCTGTGTGGAGTTTGCATGTTCACGCTGAGTTCACAATGGGTTACCCTCTGGTGCTCTGGTTTCCTACTACAGGTATAAAGATATGCTGGACGTAAACAAAAACTGGCCCTGGTGTGAATGCGTGTTTGTGTGGACTGGTAACATTCCACCTTGTGCCTCATGCTTGCCTGGGTGAGCTGCAGCTCCCCATGACCCTACTGAATAAAGCACTTAGGAAATAGCCTGATAAATGAGGTATTGCACAAGCCTTCGTTGCTTACTTATAAAGAAGTGTTGCCTTCACAACTACTAGAGAAGGCAACCAGGAGAACAGAAATCATAAAGCCAGGGTACGGGTTTCAATAGCATGGTGGGCAGCGTATTCCCAACTCCTACCACCCTTTGTGTAAAGATGTCCGAAGCCTGACTGGAGAATCTCACCCAGCGGTTGCCTAAAAGAAGCCAGGGTGTCGGCTACAACACCACGGTTGGGTCGCTTGTTCCAGACCCCCACCCCCCTTTGTGTAAACTTTGCGCTGGCTCTCCGCAGCTTTACCTTTTGTTCCGGAGCATTTGTTTATTTTTCTTATTTTTTTTAACGTTGTGACTTGCTGTGCCTCTCACCCCTTCAGCAAACGTCGGTGTGGGTGCGCCAGCAGCATGAAAGAACCACAAAAAACACACACACACAAACAGGAAGGTTCGGGCGATACGCATTTCCTTTTACCGGCTTTCAAAAGCAGCTTCAAAGCCCGCACAGAAAGTGTGCTCACTCTGCGGTGCGCCGCATCCGGTTGAGAGAGAGTGACACAGCAGCTGTCGCCCAAAGGCTGCTGGCACTGCGGTTGAGCACTGACAGCCAGGGAGCTCCAAGCCCATCAGGGCTCCTGCCACGATTGAACTCCTTGAAAGAGATCACTTCGTGAAGTGCATGTCTGGGTTGAGCTATTTGAAAATAGCCAATACACCGCCCTGAATGGCCCTGCATCCTGGGTTATGCAGCTTGACAGTGGCACTGAGCCGACTGGAGACAGGAGAGAGGGGTCTTAGTGCCGACAACAGGGGGGTTTATTGTCCTTTAGTTTTCAATGGGAGTGCTGGTCTCTAGGGCAGAAAGCGGGATAGTGAGAGATACTCTCCCATACCAGGACATACTGTATAGTTGTAATAATAATTCATTACACTTATATAGCGCTTTTCTGGACATTCCACTCAAAAGCACCTTACAGGTAATGGGGAATCCCACCACCACCAGTGTGCCGCCTCACCTGGATGATGCTCCAGTACTCTCACCACACACCAGCTCTCAGTGGGGATGAGAACAGAGTGATGAAGCCAGTTCAGAGAGGGGGATTATTAGGAGGCCAAATTGGTAAAGACCAGGGGGAAAGTTGACCAGGACACTGGGGTAACACCCCTACTCTTTTCAAGAAATGCCCTGGGATTTTTAATGACCATGGATAGTCAGGACCTTGGTTTTATGTCTCATCCGAAGGATGGCGCCTTTTTATGGTATAGTGTCCTCGTCACTATACTGGGGCATTAGGACCCACACAGACTGCAGGGTGAGCACCCCCTACTGGTCCCATTAACACCACTTCCAGCAGCAGCTTTAGCTTTCCCAGGAGTCTTCTGAGCTTCAATGGGGACTAAGTGCCAGCTGTGAGCTGCAGGGTGATATGGCTGCTGGCTATTGTGGCAAAACAAGTCACAGCACAGCTCAGTGAAAGATTGAAAGAGGCCTCCCAGGGATCAGACCTACAGAGTAATCCTCTACCCATCTTCTCTGCTTACCATTGTTCATAAACATCCTTTTATACTTCAAAACACCTCCTCTATGTACCTAACATGGTATTGGAGAAGCACATATTTTTGGATCAATATATTTAGGGTTAACTTCTGGTCCTTCCTACAGAATTCCAAATATGCAAGACAACAGTGTGCTTGTTCAGCATGTTCATCAGTCAGATTCTTTTGTGGCAACAACAGGTGTTTGTACAGCATATCTTTCACACAAGAAATTCTTGCACACAGGGCAAATCTTACACATGGAAATCCTATAGAGAAATCAAAATACTAAAAAAGATGGATGGTAAAGCAGATGGCGGGACATCCTTATATAGGGCAATGCAGGAGGCAACAGAAGCAGTGTAACAAAGCGTTCTTTCAGGACCCTATGCAGACAACACAATCCAGGGAGGAGTGAGGAAAACGGGGGGAAAAAAGCATGCAAGGGGGCTGGAAGGAAAACAGAGGGCGTGTCCACAGTGCGCTGGTGTTCAGGGGAGGTGTGGCCAAGGCAAACAGTCCAAGGGAGTCCAAGGCAAACCCGTGAATGTAGCAATAGTCCAAGACCAGGTAATTCATCCTGACAGACAAACAGAGTTTAAAGCTGGAGCAGGATCCGGGACCAGGCGCTCCGAGCCCCGGACCCAGAAGGTCAGGACGCCGTAGAGGCCAATGCCGCCGAGTCGCATCTTCCAAAGCTGAGCCCAGATTGGCAGGAACGTCTGGCTTTTATAGGACGGGGAGCAGGAACCAGAGGCAGGTGCAGGGGATAAAAACAAAACAAGGAAGGGCTGGAGCGTCCTTAAGAGGAGAGGTTTATGATCGTGACAAGCAGTCAGGGTCAAGAGTGAGAGGGAAAATGAACAGTCCAGCACTGAGTGGGGGGGGGTGGAGTAGACTGCTGCAATATTATTTGGACGGCCCTTGTGTTTGATCAGTGAAGTGTGTTCTCCCCTGGATGAAAATGGTGTTTTCTTTCACTGCTTGGCAATTCTATCCCATTGCTTCTTGGTCTGGGCTTTGCGAAACTTCCAGTTGATCAGTGTTTGTTTTCCTGCGAGCTTCAGTGCAAAGGGCGGACATCAACAACGGAACCCGGAAGACTGGAATCGGAAGAGCTACTTTCTGATGCAACTTCTGAAAGTTTGACTTTTGATCAAGCGGGCTCAGGCAACAGTGCATTGAAGCCTCCAGTGCACATGAGGAGAGTATCGGAGCATGATGAATTTCAAGACAAATACTATTTCATTTCCAAAACGTTTTAGGTTATCAAAAAACAGGACTGTTTTTTTTTCCTCGTTGGAAAACAGGACCCCACAATTCAGTATTATTCTCCTTCGCATCTAAAAAAAGTTGACCATGAACGATTCTTAAGAGGTGAATACGAAGAACACATCTATAAATGTCTGTCTGATGGATATTGGCTCCGATTCAATTCATACCTTCTAAATGCACGTCAAGAAGCAAAAAAAAATCAAGACAATGACGAATACTGGATCTTACATTTTAATGCGCGTAAAAAAAGCTATACAATTGAGTAAAATCAGGGCCGGGTTGTGGTATCCGTAAGCCCTGGGCACTTTCACTCCGAAATGTGCGAAAAGACGGGTCAACGCCACTTGAATTATGTCGATTGACACAGTGCACTTTAAACTCTTCTAATACTAAACCACGTGATTAATGGAGCGAGTTGAGTGTCACCTTCACTTCGATACTTCAAGTTTCTAGAACAGTTGCTAGAGAGCATATGATTATTGATTTGGAGCACCTAGAGTCGATCGCAAGAATGTTGTTTTAGCTTGTTTCTCGTTCTTCACTAATGTTTCCCTCCTTTTTAGGCCTTAAAAATTTCGTAGGCCCTAGGCACTGTGCCTACAGTGCCTCATGGGAAATCCGGCATTGAGTAAAATATTAACTGCACTGCTTTTAAAAATTCCACATTGAAGTGGGATGCTAAAGTGTTAATGACTTTTTTTACTCTCCCTTGTTTGCAACTCTTTGGATAAATAGCTTGACAAACAGGGGCTGTGTTCTTTTAAAGCTGGGGGGTCATCATCGTGGCTGAGCAGGACTTCAACACTTGTTTCGTCATTATTGCCAAATGAACATATTACTTGAAGGAGCTCTGGCATATCCATTATTTTTACATAATAATATATTTGCGTGCCATGTTGGAAGCTGTGTGGGAGGTGATTAGCTCTGCTATGCATGAATGATGCCCTGTAGGTGGTGCATTAAAGTGAGATGAGGTATCGGGGGACTCTAGACCGCATCTCTCTGAGACACGGCTTCAGACACAGTGTGAACAGTTTCTCTGCCTCGATCCGATCTTCTGGGCCTCCTCCCCCAGTTCCTCAGGCGGTTGACCTGCTCCTGACCCCAGCAGCCCGAGTCCAGGATCTCTCGGAAGTCGGTCCGGAGGAAGATGTACATCACGGGATCCAGGAGGACGTTTAGGCTGAGGATCCCAACGGAGATCTGCAGGAGGTGGAACAGCCGGCCCTCGTAACCGCAGCTGTCCGCCACCACCAGCGTCCCTGCGTAGACGGCGTAGCTCACGACGTGGTAGGGCCCGAAGACTGTGGTGAAGATGATGATGATCAGCAGCAGGAGGCCATAGATCTTCCTCTTCTCCTGGGGGGAGATGAAGGAGTTGCTGGCCAGCACCTGCCGCACGCGGAAAAAGCAGAAGAGGAGGAAGGCAAGGGGCACGAGGAAGGTCAGAGGGATGACGATCAGCTGAAGGATGGCAAAGCCCCGAGGCGTGGGGATGGTCTTCAGGCAGTGATTCCCGCGCACGCTGAAGCCGATGTAGACCGACCAGGAGACCGTGAATATAATGAGCACCCACAATGCCAGGCAGGCCAGGATGCTGTTCCTGAGTTTGCGATGCCTCTGGAACCACAGCGGATAGACGATGGCCAGGTACCTCTCTAGAGAGATGAAGCACATGAAGAAGATGCTGGAGAACATGGTGATGTAGAAGATGCAGCTCACCAACCAGCAGGCCGTACTGCCCAGGTACCACTTGTTCTTGTTCAAGGCAAAGTCAATCCAGATGGGGAGGGTGGCGATGTGGAGGAGGTCAGACAGCAGGAGGTTGATGATGTACACCGGGAGGGTGTAGTCGGACTTGATCAGGCGGTACAGCCCGTACATGGCCAGGCAGTTGGAGGGCAGCCCGACGCAGATGATGCAGCTGTACAGAGGGGGGAAGAAGACCCACTCGATGTTCTTGTTGATGGTGCAGTTTTGGTTATGAGTGACCTCCATGGTCTTCTTCTTAGAAGTAAGGACTGAACTGAAGGGAAGAAAACAGATTTTGAGAGGTGTATTAATACTAAAAGCTACTAATTCTAAAAATATAATACTAAAATATAGAAGTATAAGAAAAGTAAAAAAAGAATGTAGTAAAAGCATAATACTGAACACTGATATTAAAAGTGGAGAAATTGAATTTGCTACTCATAACTAGAAAGATCTCACAATCTATCTTTTGGGGGTTCCTGCAAGACATCAGTTTATAGAGATCCACATTTGTTAGGGCTCTGAAAGACCCTGATATACAGAAAACCATGTTCTATGGTTTTGGGGTTCCTGAAAGATCTCGGTACACCAAAATCCCTGTTCTTTGGGGGCTCCTGAGAGACCAAGTCTCCCCATGCTCAGGACCTGGAACTACTGTATGCCACCTAACACTGGTCCTTGGTGACTCTGCTGTGTCACTGGACCAAGATCTGGCCATTCTTGGTTCAAATTCCTTCAGAGCGACGCTTTGAGCACGTAGGAGGCATCCGGTGCATTATGACAGACTACTCTTACGGGTACAGGCATTGAAAGCTACATCCGAACCGCTATCTTTTCTGAGATATACAGTAGTACCTTATTTTTCAGGGTTTGACGTCCTTCACTCCCCACAACAGCATGGGAGAACCAAACTGCTCACATTTGTTAGATCTGCGTTTGTGCTGGTTTGTGCCACTGAAAATAACTTCCCGCCTGCTTTCATCCCTGAGACATAGTGCCTTATTCTGGGGGTAATCATGTCACTTTGTACAAGGGAGTTTACAGTTAGTAACACTCTGGATAAATCATCTGGATAAATACTTTTAATTATTGTTTGTGATAAAAACACTTGCCATATGCTTTCTCAGTCTGACCTGGGGTGGATGTATTTTCTTTGCATTTATGTTAAGAGTAGAATGAAGTACATGTACAGTATGTCTCCAATATTATAATGTAACCACAAAAAGGGAACAAAAAATTGTATTTTCGCAATACTTCGTGGCTGTGTCTGTATTTTTTTTTATAAACAGAAGAAATAAGGAGTGTTTCATTGTATCATTTTTTAAAATAGATATTTAATTCAAAGAATTATTAAAATTCCAGCTTGTCTTTTGAGCTACATATTTAAAAAAGTTAGGATGAGCAACTCCCTGCATTAATGACCACTGTTATACAATGGACCATCATTTTCATGCAATGCAAATACCTAAATGTAGACAGTATGAGGAAATTGGATTATATAGTATGTTTTGTTAGGGGCAAAACCATATTGGAAACACTACGCTTTTTATTTGTTATTTGTCAACTCAACGCATTTTGAGAACGTCTTCCATATTGTTTTTGAATTGAAACATTTTACAGTTACTGTATATATATATATCCATCTGTTAATGGAGCACTAAGGAAAGAGATGTGTTCCTTTGCTTGTGCTGCTTTTAGGGGGGTAGGGCAACTTCACAGAGCTGTGCAATGTCTGCCAAAAATTAACAGGTGGAAAATACGTACCCTAATAAGATTTTCGCGTTTATTTAATAATGTTTTTTTCTTTCACGTTGTTAAAATGGAGGTAGTTTATTTCGGGAGGAGGGGGTTAAGAAAAGCCCCCCGCGTTCTTCAAAATGCCTCTATGTGTATCGACCTTCTGGGTGACCAGAACAAGGATAAGAAGGATGTGTTTGCAGTGACACTAGCTAAGCAAAACTGCAATTTGCATATTGGAAACATGGAGATTGCTATCTGTTCACGGGAGCAAAGACATCAGGGAATCTAGAGACAACATCTCTGTCACCCGCTACCTGTATGTGTATACTTTCGGTGTGTATTGTATACTCTGTAGACAGTGTATATAGCATACTGTGTATACTATAAGTGGGTTTCGTATACTCTGTATAATATTTGTTTATAGTATGGTTTTCTGTTTATACTCTCTGTTTATATAGTGTATTCTATCATTGTATAGAGTATACTATCTGTGTAGATAGTACACAATCCTTACTGTGTGTGTATTTAGTGCTCTATATTTATTGTAAGTGTTAACTATCTGTACTCTGGATTGCATATACAGAGACATTTATAGCAGGATGATACAGTATATATCACAAGCACACTTTACAATATACCATCTTAAAAGAGTGTACTGTGTGCAGTACATACTGTACATAATAACGTTCACTGAAGCCTGCAGTGCATACAGTATACTGCATGTATCACAAAGTTCTCTGAAGCCTGCAGAGCTCACTTCACAGGACTTTTTCAAGTCTTCTTCTCTTTTCCATCAGGACTCACACAGGGGGGAGCTCTTTGTCTTCCTCTGTGAATTCTTTAAAAGTTGAGTGGTACCCTGATCACTAGTTACCCTGCGCCCCCATCCTTAAAACTGTTATGTGCAAAAAAGGCGCTATATAAAAAGGGAATTATTACATACTATAAAACAAACAGAAACCCAGGTCTAAAGAACACTCTGTAGTGTATAAGAATAAGAACTGGCTATGTGCCAGCCAGAGACAGAGAGATATGCGCAGTGAGATTTAAAGATATCGGACAGCAGTACTCTATGTATGTCAACCTGACATGTCATGGCTTGGACTCAGAGTATCTAACTGCTAGCAGATATTTCTAACCACTTTCAATGCCTTTCTAATCACGTATCCTGTGGGGAATGAAAAGCCTCCTTACCTCGACCTTCTCTTCGGGTCTCTGCCGGCGGCGGGGGGGTCTTGAGCTCAGCTCGTGAGGAAGTGAGCTCTGCGAGTTCTACAAAACCCTGCGACGCGGCGGAGGCAGAAAAGTGGCGACACAGCCCGCGCTGGGTATTCTTCCACCAGGCGGGACTCGGGGACTCAAAATTCCCAACGCCAGCCCTGGATGAGCCCGGCTTCTTTCCTGTTTCTGTCTCTATCTCTGGAGTCCAAACGAGCATGAACAAATATAGGATTTGCATGGCTGCCAGATGTCCTACAGCGGAGGAATCTGAAATGGACGCTGAGTGTATGAGAGTGCAAAGTTTCATTACCCGAATTTCTGTAGGAGGGACTCTTACCCCACAGCCTTGTAGTTAATCTATTCCTGACAGGAAAGGTTAAGGAAGTAGGCTGCTGTTGCTCCCCCATCCTCATGGAAGGAGGCAATCAGCTAACCAGAGCATTATGGGAAGCCAGACTACCTGCGGCGGATCCCAGCCAACCCAGAGAGAACATGCAAACTCCACACACACCGGCACCCCAGTAAGGAGTGGAACCCAGGACCCCGGAGAGATGGAGTTGAGAGAGGTAAGAGAGTGCTGGGGAAAGGGCAAAAAGATGAAAAATCCATCGCATTAACAGTTTAACAAATTGTTTTTTGTTTCTTCTTTTTCCTTAATTCAATTTTACTAAGAATCTGGCCTCCCAACAGGTTTGGGCAATAGCTGGTGTGTGGATGTCAGGATTTTTATGGGTTTTTTTTGGAGTTGAAGCAATAGAAATGACTTTATTGCAGATTTAAAGTTTAACAGAAAACATACAAAATAATATTATAATAAACAGTCGTTGATTGTTTCGGACGCTTTTAATCTGTATATACTGTATTTGTTGGAAATCGGAAACAGATAAAAAAATGTTGCTTAAGGGGTCAAATTCATTCATTTCATCAGGAGGAGCCACTTGGAGAAGACTGACTGCAGTTCAGTAAAAGAGCTAAAAGACTCAAAACATGTGAAGAGAGAAATAGATTTACTTAACTTTATGTAGATACAAAAAATACAAAAGGAATTTTATATATTTATGCATTTTAATGTTCAAGATGGTCTTATAATTTGATTGGAAGACTGACAGATAGTTAGGTCTACAGTTGGACTGTAAGGTCTACAGTCAGACTGATAGACCTAAGGTTGAGTCTACAGTTGGATTGTAAGGTTCACTGTTGGGTTGTAAGGTGTACAGTTGGACTGCAAGGTGTACAGTTGAATTGTTAGGCCTACAGTTGGACTGTTAGATCTAAGGTTGGACTGATAGGCCTAAGGTTGTACAGTTGGATTGCAAGGTGTACAGTTGGATTGTAAGGTCTACAGTTGAATTTGTAAGGCCTACAGTTGCTTTTCAAGGTGTACAGTTTGATTGTAAGGCCTACAGTTGGACTAAGACAAGTAGATTGCTCTCTTCTGCAAAAGACAAATGTTTACTAAGATAGCTCAGTCCTTTTCAAATATAATGAAAATCTGCCACAGATGGGATTCCTTAGTACCTCCGTCCTTAAGCCAAAAACTTCAAGTCTCTCTGATGGAGTACGAGACTCTATGGAAAGACCCCCTGCCGATTGATGCTGTTCTTGGCTTTTTCCAACAGAGCAAGTACTCCAGTGCCTCCCTGAAATCATTCCCAATGAAGGCATAGAGGATGGGATCGAGGACAGGATTGAGGCTGAGGATTCCCACAGTCACTCGGAAGAAGACAAAAAGGTCCGACTCAAAGCGGCACCTGTCCGAGGTCACCAGCGCCCCAATGCAGAGGGCGAAAGCGGTCACGTGGTAGGGCCCGTAAATGACGACGTAGATCAGCAGCACCAGGAGCAGCAGGTGCGTGATCCTCTTCTTCTTCCTGTCCGGCATGAAAGATTCCTTGTGGAGGCTCCTGTGAATCCGGGCGAAGAGGATCCCGAAGAGCAGGACGGGGAGAACGAAGGTGAAGGGCATGACGACCAGCTGGAAGACCGCAAACTCCCGCGATTTGGGGTAGCTCTCCAGGCAGAGATCGGAAGCCGGCCTGGTCCGCTCAAACCCGAAGCTGTAGCCCACAGACTGGATTGCGATGACAAGCACCCAGACGGACAGGCACAGCAAGCAGGCGAACTTCATCCTACGGTGGGACCGGAACCACAGCGGGTACACAATGGCCAGGTACCTCTCCAGGGCGATGCAGCACATGAAGCAGACACTGGCGTAGAGGCTGGTCCCGAACATGTAGCCAATGATCCTGCAGGCACTGTACCCAAACATCCACTTGTGGCCTCTCCTGTAATAGTCGATCCAGAAGGGCAGGGTGCTGATATGCAGCAAGTCTGACAAAAGGAGGTTGATGATGAAGACGGAGAGGGTGTAGTTGGCCTTGACCAGGCGGTACAGCCCGTAAAGGGCCAAGATGTTCACAGGCAGCCCGACACAGAAGACACAGCCATAGAGCACGGGCAGAAAGGTCTGGTCCACGGTGAAGTTTATGTTGCTGCACTGAACTGGGCCGGAGCTGTTCATATTGCCAGCCGCTGGGGTGAGGGAAGACTGGAAGAGCCAAGACCGGCACCAAACTTTCCCAGGGGATGCCTTACGAGGACGGAGATCGGGATCCTATTCTCCCGTCGCCCCCAGAGTGGAATCACACAGATAGCCTGGAAAACCAGAAGGGAAGGAAATTAAGCAAAGCTGATTTAAAAGACATAAACGTCAGCTGTTATCATGTTATCACCGTCTTGTGCGTGATGCAGTGATTGTTTCAGCAACCGAGGTCTGATCAAAGACACATTAATATTCCTGCCGATCGGTTGCAATTACTCAGAACGCACTATTGCAATCCAGCATCATGGCCTCCTAATAATCCCCCTCTCTGAACTGGCTTCATTACTCTGCTCCCCTCCCCACTGAGAGCTGGTGGGTGGTGAGAGTATTGGAGCATCATCCAGGTGGGGCTGCACAGTGGTGGTGGTGTAGGTGGGATTCCCCACTACCTGTAAAGCACTTTGAGTGGAGTGTGCAGAAAAGCGATATATAAGTGTAAGGAATTCTTATTAATTATTATCTATTGAGTTATAGAGAGGGTTGGATGTTGATATTTTAGTCACACACAAAACACAGCAACAAACCCCACATTTTAAAATGTGTGGCCTTAAATTGAAACCGACTAACTGGTTTCTCAGACAGAGCAGTAGCTGAAGAGCTTCTCTGTATGAAAGGGTATCTGTGGAATGATCCCACTTTTGAGTACAGCATGTGTGGAATAATCAGTATTTCTGTTCTGGAAAAACACTTTACAATAAGCCAATGACACAAAGCCTTTTGGACTGTTTTGGCAGCCTTTTATTATGGGGTTTTGGTATGAGCTTAAACAGAAATATTGAAAACTGGCATGGAGTTAAAATGATTCACTGACATATTCTTCTGTTTCGTCTTGGTTACACCCAGGCATTACCACGGGTGGAGTGGTGGCTCTGTGGCTAAGGATCTGTGCCTGTGACTGGAAGGTTGTCAGTTCAAATCCCATGGCTGGCAAAGGGATCCTACTCCATTGGGCCCCTGAGCAAGGCCCTTAACCCTAACTGCTCCAGGGGTGCTCTACAATGGCAGACCTTGCACTCTGACCCCAAGCTTCTCTCCCTGTCTATGTCTCCATGGAGAAAAGCTAGGGTATGCAAAAAGACAAATTCCTAATGCAAGAAATTGTATAGGGTTAATAAAGAAACATTATCACATTATTATTATGATCATTACCATTGACAACCAGTAGTTTTTACACGAGGTCTTAGTCCCAATCTGATCCCATGTGGACACAGCTGGGAGATGTTTTCCAGGCAGCCCTGCTTTTAATTCTTTCAATCAGGCTGCCAACAATTCAGCGATCTGCTCCAGTAGCAGATCATTTAAGGCTTTCTCTCCACTCAGCTCACTGCTACAGTAAACTGCGTCTCAAGCCCTTTGTCCCGGAGCTCTGAATGAGCCGGGATTTCCTTATTTCCCCCCTCTGCTGCCTTTTTTTTCTCGCTCTCTGGATTTTCCTCTCCTTTTTAATTTTTGCCCCTCCTACTCGCTGTCACCTCTTCGGGACCAACGTGCCAGCGGCCCCCTTTTTTTCGCTGACTATAAGGTCTTTTCTCGCTGGGAATCTCAGCCTCACAGGAGGAGGGCTCAGATTGTTTCTGGCCCTGACCACCGCCTGCAAGGCAGTCTCTTTGTCTCTCCCCTCTCATTTTCCCGTGCAAATGTTCTACCTGTTTTTATCCCCCCTTCACATCTTCCCTTTAGCCAGCAATCCGATTCTCTCATACCACTAGATTAAGCCTCGCTCCATCCAAAGACCCCCTAAGGTCACCCCGAGACCCTGCTCTAGGATCTCAGCGTGCTATTCTCCATGGCCCTGAACTTCAGGGACCAGCCTTCTTCTTCTCATAGCTGGTATCCTTCTTAATATTATTACTGTTGTGTTAACATGAACAGTCATGAAGAATAGAAATGATGAGGTTGTATGATATTACACTCTCCCTGGTATGCCTCCAGTTGAACAATCAAAGTTCAGAGATGACGCAGGTAACACAACTATTTAGGGACGGGTCGACTGGAGAAACCAGTGCACCGACTGCTTACAAAATACTGCTCACTTAAATATCTACCTATCGTTCAATATCTTTTTGAATGATACGTTTTCATAGGTTATAACATGCTCCAACAGCTTTGCTTTTGTAAAGGTATCTCCCCATCTGTATAATTCACTTATTTATAAGGACGATTGTGCTCATCTTTCCTGTACAGCGATTTTGATCTTCACTTGCCAACGCGTTTGGATCTTTTTCGGACGTCTGCATTTGTATTGCAATTTGCCTTCCCTGCTTCAGAGCAGTGGCCTGTGACTCGGGAGAAGAGGCAGGAGAAGGCAGGAGCGGCAGCGAGCCAGTAGTTTCACAGAAGACCCGGAGAGCGAAGCCGGAGAGAAGGCATGGTCAAGATCTGGAAGGCGAACGGGGGGAAATCCATGCTCGTACCCGCAGAAAAACCCCGCGGAGTTCTCCGTGGCAGAGAGCACGGGGGAGATCCACAAGAAGGCCAGGTCGAAACGAAGCAAAGGCAACAGCTTAGCCAAGCAGGAACTAAACACAGGAGCAAGCATGGCCGAGGTGGCCGAGAAGCAAGATAAAGCTCTCAGACTAATCCAGCATCTGGAATGTGGAGGCTGATCTTATAGAGCCTGTGCTCTGTACGCGGTAAGCGATCATTGATTGGACACCGGATCGTGTAGGCACGGCAACCGGTGGTTGGACGGGTGTAGTTGAAGTTATGCAGGTTGGCGCGGTAATTTGCTGGGAGCCTTCCAGCTGTCATGATCGGTGTCACCTCACAAAGGGCACCAGAAAAAAGTAACCCGTGTCAAAACTCTCCGTGAATCTACTGAGCACACAGGCTAAAGACTAAATACATTTTCTAACGGTTTTATCCAATTCGGGGTCGCAGGGTGAGCCAGAGTCAAACCCAGCAAGCAGCGAGTGCACACACAGACACAAACACACACACACACTCACACCAGGGCCGATATTCCCAGAAGCCAGTTTTCCCACCAGCATGTCTTTGGACTGTGGCAGGAGCACCAGAGGAAATCCACATGAACACAGACAGAACATACAAGCTCCACGCAGATAGCACTCCAGGAACTGGACCTGATGAGGAGTCATTCATAGTTTTTGGAGTGAGATGGAGGACAAAAATACAGGAAGGTCCTGTGTTTTACAATTTATGCTCGTTACTGTTTTAAGATGCATTTTTCTTTAATGTAACAGTAGTTTTTTTTTTTTCAGAATAAAGAGCAAGGCATTCACCTTGCCTTGAAGAGGACAGAACTGAAGAAAAAAAAGTTTGCATAAAAACTAAGAACAGGAGGCACTACTTTACACAGAAGGTGGTGGGAGTGTGGAACAAGCTGCCCAGCCATGTTGCTGAAGCTGATCTGTTTGCATGTATGCAGTTCTTGTAGACAAGTCCCAAGGAGTATGGGCCAGCCCCCTTTGTGATGCCCACTAGCGCAGCCCTGAACCCCAGAAAGCCAAGCTGAACTCTAGTCCAAAAGGCCGATGGAGAACTATCTAGGTTCCAAGGCGATGATATCACCACTGAGCCCTGTCATTAGGCCAATATTCTGGGGCATGGATTCCCAGACTTGATTCCATTCCACCCATCCTGGCAGCATTCCAACAGACAGTTTCACAACCATATAACCACACCCACCTTCCCTGGGAAATGTATGACATTTTGCATTCATTGCCAATATAACTTTAGCTATTCACCTATTTTCTCATACATGAGAAATGGATTTCCTGATTAGTTTTTTTTTGTGCTTTGTGCTGTTGCTTTTCAATATGCAATATTTAAAGTTTATCTCGCACTAGTGAAGTGTTACAGATATTGTTTGCAATCACAGCACTTAGAACAAAAAGACAGCACTGGATCTGTGTTGTTTGAAACACCTAAAGACTCCAGTACAAGTTTGTTTTGAGGATGCTAGACCACTGTTAGTATTCTTAACCTTTTCCGTCTGCTAAATTGGATATGCTGTGCAACAGTGTGAGACCATTTTAGTATCAGCTCATCCCACATAACACCATCACCATGTACTGTATATACTGTACTACTGTACACCATGTACTACAGTATATACTGAAGGGTCAGTGTCAGTCTGCGTTGGCTTCAGAGGGAAAAGTAAAGATCAATTCCGCGTTGAAACCTGTTATACCGTTCTCTGCACCTGAAGGCTTAACATTCAAAACGGTACTTTGTTTCTGATTTGCAGCGTTTGATTAGCCTCTGCTTGTTCGTTTAACATACACTGTAATAATGGAAAAAAAGAACAACAGCAACTAGCGCATTACATTACAGTCGGATTCCTGTCAGGTATCATACTTTGGCAGGGAACATGGTCATAATTTTCAAGGCGCCTGTTGCAACATTATTTTTATAGTGTTCTTCGCACGTTCAGAGACTGCGGTACTTTAGCAGTCGGTAACATTCTCATCTACAGTACACTTCTTGTCATTTCACCGCATTCAAGTTTTCAGAAACCCGTCCGTGTCACAGCAGAAAAGATAGCGCACAGTAACAAAACTTCAAAAGGTCTCTTTTTATCTCGTTTGAAGACTTCGTTTGCTTTCTAAGTTTGTGACCGAAGTGTTAAAAAAAACAATCTCATTAAACATTCTGCCCAGATGTTGACTTCATCATTTTTAATCATTCCGGACAGCTGAAAACTACCAACATGTGTTTATTGTCACGTGTCACTGCGATGTACTGTGTGTTGTTTTTGTGTTTTCAGATGTACAGAATGTTTTTTACAGCAGTAGTAATAAAAACAGTTATTATATTGCTTGCGTTGGCCCAGAGGTGTAGGAGTCCCCCTTAAAAGGTGCGGAGGTAGAGAGCCAACTTTGTTTTCCACACTTGCGGACGCGGAGCCCACCAACATTGTTAATATGCAGAGTAATAAAAAAATATCTTACTTCAGCAAATGCACTCCAGAGATGCACAGCAACATCGCGCAGAAGTTTGTCGTCCGCGCCGAAAGCTTGCATGGGATATCGCCGAGGGGGGTTCCACCTCTAGGGGGTGGTGGAGGGGGAGCGACCGCACCAGAACCGCGATCTCCCCCTTTATAGACAGGATCCGTTCTGCCCGTCTCTCTTCTCTCTCCTCATGCCTGGACTTCTCTGCCGGACTCCATCGCTGCCCATCACCGCGTATGGCTTCTCGGACAATACATAGCAAGGGGCTCTCGCATCGTGTCCACTTTGTGAAGCTCGGAGTTTAAGCCCCACGTCCTCCGCTCCCCCATTCACAGATAGCATTCCGATTGTGGTCGGTGTGACTCTAAGCTAGGGAAAATGAAAGTGTGGGTGTCTTATTACAGAGGGATAAGCGATCTTGTCGCTGCGTGTCGCATAATTCCAGACTGGTGACATGGACTTAGAGATTTCTGACAGGTTCAGGCTGTCGAATTTTTTAACTCCTAAAATGAATCAGTGCATTAGCTTACTATAAATTTGGCCACAGATCAGAGGCTAGTGACTCCATTAAGGTAATCGATTTAGTAATTCTGGATTTCCAAACCGGATTTTGCTCTTCACTTATATCTCCTTTGGAATCTAACAGTTTGGGGTTTGAATTCCGTTTGTTTTGTTTTTAAAATTTGTCTGTGCAATTAAAAAAATGTATAGAAAGGGGTGCATGTTTTTTTTTTGGGGGGGGAGGTACTTTATTATTTGACTTTAGAACAGACAGTATATCTGTGTTGAATCTACCTACTTGAACTACTATCTTTAATGAAGGTAATGATTCACATTTGATTATTGAAATAGAAAAGTAAACTAAAACTCGTTCTGCAACCTTTAAACTTATAGTAAGGAAGGTGTGTCTTTATTTTGCTTGATGAAACAATGAAACAATCTAACTTAGTTACTTACTAACTTTAGTTGTGTCTGGACTTGCACACATCTGCCAGAAGCTAATCTGGGACATGGAGAAGAATTTGTTGGAATAATAAACCCATACGAAAAATGGGAGTAGTTACAAACAAGAAGGGGCATTCTGCCCGAATAACCTGTTTTGTTGTCGACAACTAGTTGAATCTTATCCAGTGGCTTCTCTGGAATAGCCAGGGTATTCTCTATAATAGCAACAGGGCTGGGCAGCTTGTTCCCCACCCCCACCACCCTCTGTGTAAAGAAGAGCCTCCTTTCCTGACTGGAGGATCTCACCCAGCTGTGTCTGGAGAGAAGCCAGGGTATCGGCTTCAACAACATGATTGGGCAGCTTGTTCCCCACCCCCACCATCCTCTGTGTAAAGATGTGCCTCCTATCCTGACTGGAGGATCTCATCTCAGCTATTACTTGAAATGAGCCAGGGCATTGGCTTCAACAACACAGCTGGGCAGCAAGTTCCACACCCCCACCACCCTTTGTGTAAAGAATTGTCTCCTGTGCTGACTGGAGGATCTCACCCAGTTGTTACTTACTGTAAGAGTAGCCAGGGTTCCAGCTTAAAGAACACGGCTTGTCTCTTACACACCTTACTCACCTGTTAGGTGGTGAGGAAAGCAAACAAGCATTGTGCAGTAAACCTGCTGTTGTGATATTGCATAATCCCGAAGTAGCAAATGAGTTTGAGCTCCTCCATTGACTGACGCTTTGCTGTTCTAGGAACGTAAAAGGTCTCTCTGGTTGGTAGACATCTGGCCTTGATGACTACCAACCGGTCTGTTCCACTTACAGCTTTGGGCGAACCATTGCAACAGGTCAGAAATGTCGATCACAAGATATAGTTCTCCAGGAAGAGAGTGTTATAAGTTTATTGCGTGAGGCATTTTTATTGTGTGGTGATTAACCGCTGTGCCTGAGCCAAGAGACAAGCACCTATTGTACTGCACTCACCCAGAACCCACTGAAGCGCAGTAAGCCGTGTCACAGTCTCATAAACGGAAATCCGTCCAAAGGACTGAAGGGACAATTCCACAAAATCTACAAAATCGAAACTGCCTTTTGACATTTACATGTAGACCTGACAGGCAAGAGGGAATTTGTCTGGTCTGGTCTCTGGAGAGGCCTTCTGGGGCGCTTCCCAGAGCTGCGCTGTGACCTCTTGTCTCTCTACTGGCCTGGCTACATCTCAGCATTACTGTCACTCCGGACTTCACTGCGGTGGTTGTTGTTGGAGGGGAGGGGTTGATGCACAGGCAATACAGGATGCCATTCAGAGGAATTTGCAAGGTGTGGCGAACTTCACTGGCGACAGACATCCGACAGCAAAATGCCAATGGGGGGTGGGGGTGGTTATCGTAACCTGAATTCTGTCAGGGGGGGACCACACTCTCCGTGAGATGGACTGGAATACTGTTTTGACTGCCCTGTACAGCTCCCGGAGACTGCCCTGCTCCTTCTGCACTGGAATCAAGTGCAGTATCTTCTCCTGCTCTCGCCCCATCGGCAGCTGAAGGGCTGTCAGCCCGGTTCTTTCTGTTTCCTTTTTGAGGTTTGCCAAGAATGGGGAAACGAAACGCGTTTTTTTAAAAACAAACCAAAATGCAACCTGTCTGATCTGGCTGATCCAAGGGTTGGCGCAGTGGTTACAGGAGTATTGCTACGGGACCCGGAGTGCAGTTCTGGACCCAGGATGCTGTCTGTTTGGAATTTGTATGTTCTCTGTGGCTTCTGGGAAAACTGGCCCTGGTGTGTGCCCTATGATGGGCTGGCTCTACCCTGCCTTGTGCCCATCGCTTGCCAGTATGGGCTCCTTCTGCCCCGCAACCCCAGAAAACCCTGATCATGAAAGGGTGGGATGGATGTTGTTCCAAGCCAGCTGGTACTGTAGGTGCACTCAGTTCTAAAGGCTGGATTTGTTGCAAGCGCCATCTGAGTCCTGGACAGGGGTAGGACAGCAGGATCTCAACCCAGATCTCAGCCCAGCACCTTCTACGTCTGAGTCCCGAGCCCTGGTTGGTCAATGTTGCCTGGGTATATCAAGAAAGGACTGTGCAGTTCAGTGTGTTGGGATCTGCTTTTCCAAGGATCTCCGGGATCTCCTGTTAAAGAACGGGCTCCTCCATTGAAGAATGCCTGCCTCTGCACAGTGCTCAGTGTTGCAATAAGTCAGGATGGGGCCAGTGTCTTTTATGGAAGCATCTTCATTCTTGGGACACAGGTTGCGGCAGTGTTGGGATGGTCCCTCCTCCTTCCCGATGAACCCTGGGGGTACTCCTGCGGCTCATTCGGCTCATCAGCCCCCGGCAGCGGGGGAAGTTGAGCAGTGTTTCCCTCACGTCACCGCGGAGGAAAATGTACAGGATGGGGTCGGCCGCAGTGTTTAGGCTCAGCAGTCCGAACGTCACCTTGTAGGTGATGAACATTTTGGCCTCGAAGTCGCACTTGTCCGTCGCCAGGGCCGCCCCCGCGTACAGAGTGAAGACCACGATCTGGTAGGGCCCGAAGAGGAAGGCGAAGATCATCACGACGGCCAGCAGCAGGCCGACCGTGCGGCGCTTTTCGGCGGCGGACATGAAGATGGCCTTGCCGAGGGAGCGCCAGACGCGGACCAGGACGAAGAGGAAGAACAATGGCGGGGGCACGAAGACGAGGGGGAGCAGCACCAGGACGAAGACCACAAACCCCGAGTTGCGGGGGTACTGCTCCAGGCACCGGCCATCCTCCACCTTCTCGTAACCCAGCACGTACCCCCAGCCGATGGCCAGCACGCTGACCACCCACACTGCCGCGGCCAGCAGGCACGTGTTCCTCAGCCGGCGGTGGCTCTGGAACCACAGCGGGTGGACGATGGCCAGGTACCGCTCGGACATGATGCAGCACATGAAGACGATGCTGCAGAACATGGTGATGCCGAACACGCAGCTAGCCACGGCGCACACCACGGTCCCGAAACGCCAGATGTGGCCGCTGTGGTAGTAGTCGATCCAGAGGGGCAGGAAGGCGATGTGGAGGAGGTCAGCCAGCAGGAGGTTGATGATGTACACTGGGAGGGTGTAGTTGGCTTTGACCAGGCGGTACAGCCCGTACAGGGCCAGGCAGTTGGTGGGCAGCCCCACGCAGAAGACGCAGCCATACAGGACCTTGAGAAAGGTCTGGTCAGCGTCGAAGTCCAGGTCACAGCCGGTCACGTTGGACACGTTCTTGGCAAGAGGGGCGTGGCCAGAGGTTGGCCCAGAGCCGTCCATGGTTGCAGCGGGTGACTGCTGGAGGGGAGTTCTGCTACAGGAAGTCCCCGCTGGGAGTCCTTCTGGTGGATCTGACCATCAAATGAAGGTCTTGTAGGAGTGCAGGATCGGATGACCTAATGGGAAGATAGGGGGAGAGGAGGATGTTAGTTACAATGGTGTTTCGCTCCCACACATTGATCAGACCTTCAAGGCAATGGCGTCTATGGAGTCAACCAGGAAAGTCTGGGAGAGATGTCGAAAGTTCAGTCCGCCTCAGCTCTCCTAATTTGTAATCATTTTTTTCCCCCATTTTTTTTTTTACAAAAAACAACAGATAATGCTCTTTCACTTAAACAGATTAACAAACCTCAGCATTGAAAAAATAGAACCCATCAGCCTCTCAGGGCCTCTGGCCAGCAGCTCCTCCCTCTTTGATACAGATACAGATAAGGTTGTTCCCAGCAACCCAAGGCTGGCTGGGTCCACGTGAGGTTCATTCATCTTGACATCAATTCTAAAAGCTAGACAGGGGGCCCTTCTCTCCCTCACCCTTCCCTTCTGCTTCCCTCCCTCCACCCCATCTCCACTCCTCGCTCTGTGCGGGGGGGGCGTATCAACCCACAGCCAAGGGCGATGGACCTCAGACAAGCAGGTGAAGCCAAAATGTACTGTGACTAAGACACTTGGTAAACATTCTCAGTACTCCTAATTATTGGGTGGTGCTCTTCCTAGTAAACTACGATTTATGTGCTGGTAAACACTTTGTCACCAGGTTTAGTTTTGACTTCTCGTTAGTTTTCGGGAGAGAAGGAGGAAGAACAAATTTAAACAGGCACAGGGAGATCAGCGGTCATGACTAAGTAAAAATTCACCGGTTTGTGTTGGTGCGGCTCTGGGAAATTCCAGCTATCCAGACTTGGCCTATCCACGAGCTGGTTAAGACAAGAGCCCGTAGCTTCGCTGATTCCTTCAATTAACAAGGCAGAATCTGTATTTAATTCCCGGTTCGATGCAGGGAAAACGTCCATCACAGGACCTTTGGTGCACATTGCACGTTGAAATGAATCCAGAGCTTCATGTCCGGCTATGTCATCCTGGCTGTTGGGAATTTTATGAATGGTGAGTTATCGTACCGGTGGGAGGAAATAGTTCTTATAATGGCCAGGGAGGTGGAAAGCTTCAATCTGGCCCAGAACCTCAGACGACTAAAGTGCTACTCTACTGTTACGCTCATTTTTTGTGTAATTATCATTTCCAATGTTGTTTTGAAAAGGACTGTGCTACTATTAGTGCACTGGCAGCTGAAATAGTAGGTCACACAGTTATATTACAGCAGGGACCATTATTCACCACTAAGGCACAGTCGTGAAATAAGTGACTCAGTTACGTTGCTGAAACTGATACCCTGGCCTCTTTCAAGGAAAGTCTGGGTGAAAGCCTTCAGTCAAAAGGGGGGGGGGGGGGTGCTTTTTTACACAAAAAGTAGTGGGAGTGTGGAACAAGCTAGCTCACCATGTTGCTAAAGGCAGGTTACTGCGATACCCTGGCTTCTGTCAAGAAATGGATGGATGAGACTCTCTAGTCAGGAAAGGATGAGCTTCTTTACACAAAGGTTGGTGAGGGTGTGGAACAAGTTACTCAATCACGTTGCTGAGGCCAATACCCTGGCTTCAGTCAGCTGCCAATTGTCAAATGGTTTAGGTGGCCGAAGTGGCCTCCTCTCCTTTTTAACCTTCCTTATACTCTAATCAACCAGTTCTTACCAACAAGTAATGGTTTTCACCAATCACATCGTTCGGGATTTTAAAATCATTCCCCAACCACACGGGTCCAAATGACCGCAGGTAGTTTCATGACTCGGCAGAGTCACTTTTCAACCAGCCCCCTTTTCAAGGGCAGACAGCGGCAGCTGAGGTGGGGTGTGTTTCACTATTCACAGGCACACTGCGCACGCCCAATGTCCGGCTCCAAACTCAGAGCAAAGTGGACATGGTGCTGTCCCTGTCCAGCGCCAGCGCTCCTGCCCTCACCGCAGTGGACGGTAAGACATCTCCCTGCTTTGGCAGGATCATCAGGAGTCCATTCCTGGAATTCATTCCCCGACACTCATTTCAGAGCAGCCCGAGCCTCTTCAAAGGCTGTGATGCCCAGGACCCCATCCATTCATTTTCTAACCCACGTGATCCAGCCAGGGTCATGCAGGGGTCAGAGTTGTTGTGCCAAACAAAGGGCATCAGCAGCGAGTTTGTGTGTTGAGAGTCGTCTTTATTTCATATGCATATGGGAGTCTTGTTCTGGTACGCAAGACTCCAAAGACAATGCCTACAGTGCTCTTTCACGCAGTGAACCAAACAATACAAGATACAATCCCACATGAATCTTTGCTTGCATCGTGGCTTTATATGGTCATTCTAGAAAGCTGACCAGTACCTATATTTTCATTACTGCTGGATTGCGTGACAAGCAGCCCCGTCTGCTTGTAAACTGAATATACCATTTGTTCCAGGAGAGGTCACTCGGTCAATTTCCTGAGAACTATGCCAGCTATGCCTAAAGATGCAGTGTGACTATATTATCTTTTGAGACGAGACATCCTGAGACGGAGTTAGTAAAATATAAGAACAGAAATACATAGCCAACAAGATATAATACAAACTTTTAGTCAAATCTTTTAGTTAATTCCCTCAGAGTCTATCCCAACAGGCAACGGGCACAAGGCAGGGTACACCAGTCAATTAAAGGGCACAGACAGATACAGACAATAGTACACTCACACCAGGGCCAGTACCCACCAGCAAGGCTTTGGGTGGTAGGACGAAACCGAGAAGACACACAAACTCCACCTAGGTTGCAACACAGGTTGTTAATAGTGAAGGAAGATGGTACAGGGCAGGTGGCCATTCCACATTCAAGACACTCTCGTTTACCCTGAGGCTGTTCAGGTAGAACGTGCCTGTTTAGTTGGGAGATTAAGTTAAATCTGAATTCCTCAATCACACCCTCTGATTGTTAGGGTTAATTGTCATATTCATGCACACAGCCACAGCGATACCTGCGGTGAGCCTATTGCGAGACGTCACTTTCATTTGGGGCCATACAGCGAGTTACCAGCTGATGTGGTCGGAAATTTTGTGGGTAGTGTTAGGTCACCTGCAGTCAGACACAGGAGAACATACAGACTCCACCCAGATAGCACCCCAGGGCCAGGGCTGTGAGACAGCAATGCTCACCAATCCACTTCCATACCATCTTGCAAAACACTGATCACAGTTAAAAAGCGTGAGCAGGGAGATGCACCAGCGTGCATGAGCTGCAAGGGAACAGGCAGTGATTACTTCCACACTGAACAACAGAAAGAGGAAACACACTGTTCCAGCTACTGAGGCTTCTCCAGGTCTGAGGGGGAGAGAAGATAAGATAAGATTTTTATTGTCCCCTGGGGACATCATCCTTGACATGATGTTGACAGCTCTAATGGATAGTGGAACAAAGAGATTTGAAACAAACCGGCTGTGGAAACATGTCATCCAATCGGTAGAAATAGCTGTCATATTCTCTCTATAATAGGCATTCGTAGAACTGTACAAACCTTAAAAAAAATGTGCAAGAAAACTGGAATAGCACACCTTTGAACCATAAACATTACAAGACACCTCTCTAGGACTGGCAGTAGTGAAATGCAACAGTAAAAATAGTTAGTATTTTATTCCTTTTTTTATTTTTTATTATTTGATTTTAATTTTTGCAAGACTAAGAAAACCATTCCATGTCCCAAACCTTCATACCAATCCATGCAGATGTTTTAATATTTGTTCAATGACTGTGAAATTTTCATTCAAGCTTAGTAGACATATTAGAGAAGACATAAAAAGCAGAAGTTACATTCTAGGTGTGCCGTGCTTCAAGGAAGCAACTTTCGAAGAAAGACAATAAAATGTGTTTGTTGGGGTTTATTTTTCTGTGTTTTTATTCTGGATTTTTCTTTCTACTGTGTGTCCTATATACAGACATATAAAAAAATCTGAAACTTCAGTCATGATGTCCAAGGGGTTCCTTTGAACCAGGCCTAACCAGGCCTGTACTGCACATGCTTTCCAAAATAATTCAAGGTATTAACGGGTGCTCCACTCCAGGAAGATATTAGCCCTGGAGTCAATATGGGGGAGAGGAAGTATTTAAGGTGCATTTTGTGGACCTGTGCGCCGAGATTAGAGCACTTTCAATTTCCTGTGTATCCCCCCACTGTAGGTCCCATTTATCATCCAGAACGTGGGTTTCAGGTAAACAAGAGACATTCAAACACTGAGCAGCACATCTACAGGTGGAGCAGTGGCAC